CGTTTTCGAAAGGAATCCATAGCCGGGAGGAGGGAGTGCCTTGGACACTGGCACATCAACCGTACGTAGGAATGTGGCCAAAACCACGTGTGGTGAGATATGGGATGGATTGCGTAATTGGCCTACTACTTTCACACACAGCTCTGTTCCCCACTGGAGTTTGTCTAAAGGCCTGGAGCCTCCGTTATAATGGTTTTATAATCCCCCATTGCGCTGTTTTCAGGTACAGTACGTACACACATCTGAGGGTAGAGTTTCGCCTCAAAGTCGCCGTCTTATGCAATCAATTACAGCGCTCCTTATGCCTTCCCTTGGGCAGTTGGGGAATCTTTAGTGTCACGCAGTGTCTTCTATTGTCACTATGCATTCCCCTAATACCATAACACTGAAAACCAGCTGCAAATATACTGTATATACTGCAACTGTACATGTACATAGTCTTTGAGCAACGCTATACACAAACATACTATAACCGCATACTGTATACACATAATGTGTGTATAGTTAAATCACAAAGTGTTCAAATAGAGCTTGAAGCACTATTTTAGTGGCCTAGAAGCACTATTCGGCACTCTTCCCTTTGAAAATTTGGCACATGTTCCGACTGGTACCTAATACACTGCCCAAGAAGGTGAGCATACCTGGAAGCCCTAACGTAGTTGAGAAGTTTACACCTACTTACCTGCTTCTTACAAGCTCTGGAATCCCTAATCACATGTTCTTCATAATTAGGATTGTCAGATTGCATTGTGCCTGCTTTACTACAACTTGTGGGTTGAATATATCCCCCTTAGGTTTTTAAGAAATCAACACTTGGTAATTTATTGGCACAGCAGGGTATGTGTGCCCACATGGCATATCCCATTGTCCAGGACTGTATGTGTACAATGATGGATGTATGTATTCCATGGATGTGGGTTGAGGGGGATGTGATTAAATTGACTTAGACTGCATGTATATGCCTATATATAGTAGAAAGAGCGGCTATTATGGGCTACACTTAGTGAATCTGTGTGACTGTTTCTCTAAACTAAAATATTGCTCCATGATTAATGCTGACACTTCTCTAATGTGCCCGCTGTACACATTTTCATACGCACATTACTCGAGGGTTAATAACTGCGGTGAAGAATTAGCCGCTGCAATTAGTATGTAGGTGCATTAACGGTAATTGCTGGTACAAGTTTGATGCTTCGTGTGTGTGTGTGTGTGTGTGTGGGCATGTACATACAGATGCACAATCAATGTTCCCTATATAGAGTGTCCCTAGACTGATTTATGCAGATTATTCCCAGATGGAATTTCTGCACTTATCGATAACACACCTATACCTCTTACCACTTATATATACTTACCTTAAACTGTGTGTTGTGTGTGTGTGTGTGTGTTTGTGTGTGCATCCGCGGTGTAGTGTAACGGAATATGTGAGGGTTGGGTGGTCAAACACATGGCCTGCTGACACGATATCAGCATCGGATGTTGCCTGGCTCGCGAACCCTGCCTCAATCCTCTCAGTGGCGCTCACTATACGCAGCTGGCGCACACTGGGGAAAATATTCTCCATTCCTCCGATGTAGCGGCTTGCATGGCCGTGGTATGAGACTCAGTCTGGCTCGAGAGAGAGGCTCTTGTTTCCTATCGTCCTCTAGTCCGGATCAGTTTTCTACGCTACGCGAGCAAAGACTGGTATCTGTATACATCGTGTACCTAGTCGCTGAAGCAGTGAGAGAGCTAAGTGGAGCATCAATATTGAACGTACAGTAAACATGTCAATACATTCACCTACGGACATGTTAAGTATAACATTTGGTGAATTAATGCCAATGCTGCTTGTGTACATAAGTGCATATGTGACTGTCACGTGACATGTAGTAGCTGCTGAACTGGTGGTTCTGGGGTATAATTAATAGGAGTCACTCCTGACATGGCTTTTATTAGCAGGGCGAGCCGACATTTTGTCGATTTCAAAGTACCGTGTGAAAGAAAGAGGAGAGAGAGAGAGGGAATGTAGATCTGTATATACTGTAGGTGAAAGAGGAAGTGTGTGTGTGTGTGTGTGAGCTGAAACTATGTGGGGCATGGCCTTTGATAAGCAAAGATCACAGCGACCGAAAGAATACATGTACGTATGCCGCACACACGTGTCCAACGACCCTGATCCAAACCGTCCACAGGATAATTCTCTCCCGCGAGAAATGCATACCCAGAATCTGTGGATGAAAGCAGATTTGCTGTGCATTGTTAGTCGTACGTACGAGTGGGGGAGGTCGTTTAGCATTGTTCACATGCACGCTTCACTGCCTTCAACGATGGAGTGTACTTCACATCACCACACATGTTGGTATTTTCCTACGTACGACGTCTCACACAGTGTGCATTGCATACCGGTACAGAATGTACGTACTATGGTTCCATATTAAGACAGACTCCATGTCTATCGCGTATAATACGATGCGGTCAATTTCACGCATGTTTAGCTGCTCATTCGATATACCTACATGCGCCTGAAACGCATGAGTACCTGTGAAGTTTCAAACTATACCCCTGAGACATTGGCCACCTACACGTGCATTCGTAACAACAAGTATGCTCTGGTGGAGGAAAATTAATACACTAAAAATTGGATATTTACTTTTGCTGCCCTTGCTCTTAGTTTTGCAATTCTCTGTGCACTCATTTTGATAGCTACACTACGTAGTGCTGTGTGCTGTACTTTTGACCGGTAGTGTTTATCTCACTGAGTTACTTTGACTGGCTGATTCATCCATAAATTTCCTTTGAGCCAACCCTAACGCCCACTCTTGTGTGTGCGTACACATTGGTATAACGTCAGTTCCTCTACCTACCTACGTATGTATGTATGTGTATACCTGGGCTCTGACGCCTACTGACCCAGCTTCAGGAGTGGCGGGGTGGTATTGGCACACACACAACACATGAAGTCAACTCTGACAATCTATCGTGTGTCCACACAGTCACTGCAGTTGAATGCCGTGTTTGTTTTGTGGGTGGGTTTGTATTCGTTTGTGCTCCCAGACTACTACTACAGCACTTTCAGCCTTGATTGTTGGCCTGTGCAACTAGTGCATACTATATTATAGCTCGATATAAAAGTAGTGGCCAATTCATTAAGTACGGCAGAGTGACTGGTCTAAAGGTCCAGCCAGCCAGGCAGGCAGACAGACTCCAGGTCTCAGATGTGTCTGTGGAAGGAAGTGGAGTCTGCGTGGGCCTGAGTGGGTGGCAGGCTCCGAGGCAGTGGGCAAACATTATCCTTTTCTAGCTCCTCCTTGCGAGGCAATCACCACCCAACCACCTCTCAACTTGGGTCCAAGCCCTCTAATACACTAAATGCCAGAGGTGGCGTGTGATGGGGTATATAGCTGATACAGTTTGCTTTTACAGAGAGTTGTATTTACACCCAAAGGCTATTAACTAGCTTACTGTGGGGCAAATAGCTTTTAACATAGATTCAGGCGGGACACTTAATCCAGGGACACCCAACAAACTGGTATTTTCAACCAGAGATATAACATATGCACACTTTTCCACTGTGAGGGTACAAGTGTTAATTGTCTCCAGTTACCCAAAGTGCAAGAGGGTATTATTTCAGCAGCAGTTAGCAGCTATGCCGAGAATGCACATCAAACATCAAACACAGCAGCAGGCCAGCAATCTTACCCCTCCGGGAGGGGGTTGTTGACTACAGCCAGTCAGGGAGCCCAGGGACTGTGGAATTTGACTTATAAACACTCCTGATTGTACCTAGGTAACCGGATACCCTTGGGGCTCCTTGCGCTAACTGGTGTAGCCCTTTCTCTCCTTGTCCTCAGATGCATTAGTTATGTACACTTGCTTGCCCTTAGCTTCTCAGCTTTATGATTGGTGCACTCTTGTTAGATATGACTTTGTAAGACCCTCTTTAAGAACCTGTAGCTTTATGAATCTGTACATGATAGAATCTGGGTACCGGCCCTTAGTGAGCTCCAATAATCAGAAGAAATGGTTGCAATAAAGTTTCACGTTTCCTTGACCTTCAACAAGATTGCAGTCCCTCTGGGGTTGTACATGCAGTTCATATTATACACAGACGACGCAAGTACCACTCTCTTAATTGAGACAAAATGACACCTTAGATCACTGTGCTATTCAGCTGTAGTAAGACCTCCCAGGTTTACTACTCCACACACACTCTTCCTTCCATCCCATACCTACACTTCACATGAGGTCTACATAGGTGTGAATCGAGCTACACTACACTGCCTGTGAATTGCTAGAGTATTACCTATAGAGCCTAGCAGACTTGGAGACTCCAGTGCGATAGAGGCCTTGGTCGAGGGCAGGTGTTACTGACGAGGCTAATTACATAGCTCTGTTTTTCATTCACCGGCGCAACTTATACATACATTGTACACACTCTGGTGGTGACGGGAATCTGATCACAGACATTGGGGCTTTTCACTGGGCCTTTTGCTGCTTGCCCTGTGTGTCCGCGTAGAACAAGAGACAGGGACTGGGTGTGCACGATGCACTCAACAAGACGATAATCACCTTCTTTTGAACACTGTGGCTTTCCTGCAGTGCCAGATTTGTTGGGTCATCATACCGGATGATAAGTTTGTTTGTGTGCAGGACTTTGTCAACACATTCATCAGAATCCAGGCCTTCCTATACGCAAGTAAACATGGAAGGCATGTGCTCCAAAGGGAAACATGCAGGATTCCTATTAATTGTGTAAATACATAGCACACTTTAACATGAATTCGGTATGGTGTTATGCAGCATGGTTTGGTTAATAATGAAGAGTGGGTGAGATAATGGAGCGTAGTGATTGAATAGTTGTGTGCCGTGTCAAAAGGATTTATTTCCAATTGCGCTGATTCATTTACATTCTCTTGTTTCACCTTACTCTCTTTCCCCTTCCTCCCCCTCCCTCTCTCTTCCTCTCCCTCCCTCTCCCTCCTCTCCCTCCCTCCCTCCCTCCCTCCCTCCCTACACAGGGATATGTATCTAGTGTTCTACAGAGCTCCTCGGGAGAGAGACCAAGTTCCGGGGTGTCCAGCATGTCTTCCAGTCTGTCCAGCAGAGGTAATGTCAGTCTGTATTAGCCATCGATCACTTTGTTGTATTCAACACTGATAAAGGCTGCAGTTTGCGTGATGTTAGATTTGTATCTTGTGTAAGTGACATCGTAATTAATTGCCCTAATGTTTTCATCTTATTGCCATTGCACACTTTACTTACCTTACACAAAAGAACCCTAAACCCCTTCACACGTGTTGTATAAGGTATTTGGACACCATAGTATGCATCATTCCACTTCACGCGCCATTGGTGCTGTTTGTTTCAGCTCCAATTTCCCGTGGCTGCATTTGACTTATACTTTTTACTGCACAATTCACGCTGAATATGCATAAAGTGTGTGCTCTGCGAGACTAACCGGTAATTATTGTCTGTTACGTAACCCTCAATAGCTGGGGCGAGACTATGCTAAGTGGGTGTGAAATTAAGCTCCCCCTACAATTATCGTGTTTCCCCAAAATGGAATTTTTCCACACCTGTACTGATTGGCATGAAATTACGCTACACTGTACGTACGTACGTACGCAGCTCTCGTTCTGTGGTTCGTTACTCGAGGGAGGAATGCTGTAATTACACGCTTCATTGATGACGTTTGCCCCCACAAGGCTCTAATGTTTCCACATCTCGCTGCATTAGCCTGGAGTTACGTAACCAGCATACTGTATATATGTAATGCTGGTGTATGCTCATCAAGGCAAAAGAGTGCATTTATTGGCTGTTTGTTTTTGACTCGTACCGCAAGAGCCCCTAACGATGGCCTGTTATTAACCTATCTGCACATACACATTCCGGGTCTTACACTTGCTTGCACCATGTTAACAAACACGACATGAATGTTTTACGATGCAGCCACTTTTATACCGTGCAACTAAATCCTTTCTGTACAAATTTCTCAGAGTTTTGAATTGCCTCGAGCAGTCCATGTATTCTCAGCTTTACCATTCATATGGTGTATGTTCGTTTGTTAACGATTCCCCCATTGCTCTGGGTGCGTGGTCTATGGCCCTAGTGCTATGGCAGCCACCTGAGTATTATTATTACTAATGCCCCCATTCCCCCATGTTCACAGAATCGACACCAGACCCCGAGGAACCAGAGCCCCTCCCATCAATCAGTGGCTCCGCCCTCTCCCAGGACCCGTCTCCACACGGTCTCTCTGCCGGTCTGGGTGGCTCAATAGTGGGCGGGGCCACTCATCCACACCACCACGTTGCCGCTCAAGGATCGGACACTTTCTGTCTCGTCCCTGGGAGACTGTCTCTTCTGTCATCGACTCAGAAATACAAGGTCACGGTGGACGAGGTGCGACGAAGACTGTCTCATCCAGAGTGCCTCAATGCCTCTGTTCTTGGAGGAATACTCAGAAGGTGTGTCCCGCACTCCATGCATGTGTATCACTGCACTAGTTGCTGGCTTCTCTTTGATAGCTGTGTGTAAGGTTATACAGCTAGAGAGAGAACAGTGTCAATGCCGCACGGTTTGCATGGTTTTCATGGTTTTCATGGTGCAATAGAGCTTAGCATAGCTTATACAGTACCTTTCGTGGTAGCTTTGCACAGCTTATGATGATGATTCGTGTCGAAACTGTTAAACTGTATGTGGTAAATGCAACCTCTAGCAGCTATATGCTCTTTGTTAAACTGTTGGAATCTTCTGGCTGTTTGTTAAACTGTTGTACTAAATGGAATATTCTGGCTAAACTGTTGTACTAAATGGAATCTTCTGGCTGTTTGTTAAGCTGTTGGAACCTTCTAGCTGTTTGTTATCCTCAGAGCCAAATCAAAGAACGGAGGTCATGTACTGAGACAGAGACTGGACTCCATCGGTCTCTCCCTGCCTCCCGGTCGGAGGAAGGCCACCGAGCTCTCCCTCCTCACCTCCCTCGTGGAAGGTACATATGTACACCTCTCCACTCTGACTGAACTGTACTTATACACCTGTATTTCAGGCTAGTGTTCGTTTTGCAATTCCCTAGCAAAGATGTGTAGCTACAGTAGTTGTGTCATGGAGTATAAGGTCTGCTCACTATTAGAGCTATTGAACCAACCTCCTTCTGCCTATTATTAACTGCACAGTGGAGGGTCTGCTTCTCTTAGAGTGTATGACTAGCCAACTACTTGCTTACATTTTGTAACCTACAGTAGAAGTCAAAAAACGTTTCCAAAATCGTTCACCGTTCAACCGTTGAACGGCGTTCGAACGGAGAAACGGAAAACGGAAACGGACAAACGCCGTTCACCGTTCAGCCGTTCACTGTTTAGCCGTTCGCGCGCGTGTGCCACTCCCACCTTTTCTAGTTACGGCCGTACGCTATCCTGAAGTAGCGAGGCGCGCTTTTACCACAGCCTAAGCCTTGGCAAAGGCCATGGCATCAATAGTTACCAAAAATAACCGTCGATTTCAGTGCTATACTTCCGCCGTGGTGAATTCGTCGATAGCTTTTAGCGCGCATCGCGGGTTGCGTAGCCGCGAACATGAACGGTCAACGGATGAACGGTGAAACGTCGTTCCGTCGGAAACGGATAAACGGTGAACGGTGAACACCGTTCAACGGTTGAACGGTGAAAGATTTTGGAAACGTTTTTTTGACTTCTACTGTATTTTCTTACTGCACACATTTGTTCTTTACTAGCCATTTACTAGTTTATCTGTAGTACACTGAAGACTCATAAAACTCCCTCCCTGTACAGGAGAAGCAACCCACTTGTCGTCAGACTTCAGGAGGATATGTGAGACGTACTTCCCTCACGTGGAGCTGGCTCAGATCATAGCGAGACAACACGTGGGGACACCTCAGGCCCAGCACAGGGTCTCCATGGTCAAGGCGGCTCAGTAAGTTCACCTGACCTCTCTCTGTCTGTGTATATATATAACATTGTCCAAAGAGGACTCCTTTTATACAATGCAGTGTGGTCACTGTAGGTTGGAGACGGCGGAATTTGTGTTGGGGAAAATCCATTGTCTAGCAAACAATGATGCACAGTTGCTAGAACATGCAACACATTATGAAAAGTGCAAATTGGAAGTACACAAAGCATAATTATAGTGTGGACAGTGCGTTCACATAAAGAATCCAAAAAATCGCACAATGAAACAACCAGGTCTCGCGGATTATGTTTTAACATTGTGTATTATAATTCATTTCCCTCTCTTTTTCTCTCTACCCTCACTTTCTCCTCCTGCCTTCCCCAACGCTCCCCTCTCTCACCATCTCCCACACAGACTGGTGATATCGGAGCTCCAAGCCATGCTCACTGCAGTCGGAGGACCCAGCAACGTCAAGGCCAACGACCCCAACAACCCGTACCCAGGCCTCACCAACTTCTCCCTCCTCACCCACGGCTTTGGAAACCCGGCCATCAACACCAGTCTCACCGTGGTACAGACTTACCTCCAGGAACTTCTGGCCTTCTACGACGGACGGAAAGCGGTCCAGCCCGAGAACAGGTTCTCGACGTTTGGTGGGGAAAACGTCCACCTTGGAGCCGGCCAGTTTGTCAACGGGTTGCCCCATCCTGTGTATGCCATCCCAAATACGGATCCTCAATCTGCTCACCATAGTCAATCTTCAACTGTAATGAAACAAGAGCCCATTGGCTCTCCGAGACACGCCACCGTATAGCTCTCTCTCTCTCTCTTCTCTCCTTCTTTCTTGTATTAATGGTCATGTATTTCTCTCTCCAACTCCCCACTATCTATATATTTCTGTAGCATTATGATACTATTATTATGTGTCCACGTGCAATCTATTATCTGGAAAGGATTTTATTCAACTCTTGCACCAACAGACCGGAATCACTCATTGACTACTCAAATCAAAACGACGACAATCTCTATTTTTCTTATACTCTCACCCTATTCATTCATGTGCGTGCATCACTGCAAAGCTCCTCCAAACGTCACCTCACTTATTGTCATATTTTCTGTATACACCTGTGTATAGTAACTGCCTCTGTTACTTCAACTGAAAAGTGAATAATTATTGTGTTCAGAATGCAAAGGGATGCCGTACGCAGGCTTTCTGCAGTGTCGCGTCTATGCTATTAATATCCATCTGAATGGCACCTTAGAGGCCGACTATCCACTTGGAATAATGATAGCAGAAAAAACTCGTGCAAAATTACAGGTGCAGCATTGCTAAGTGCATGGGCTTAACCTATATTTCACACTCCGAGCTGTGAAGTACGACGAGTAATTGACCTTTCTTCAACATCTATAAACACACATCCACATTAATTTGTGCGTGTTTTATTCCCATAAACATACAGGTAGCTATCACAAGTTGGGGGTTTCTACTATAGCTCACACCTCTAGCAAGCATTATATATAGGCAACTCTTTGAAACTCTGAATCGTTGTGCATTCCACACTGTGAGTTGATGCTTTCATTATACGCAGTGGCATTCTGCGCATTCCACGTGATCACACTGCGCATGCGTTGAACAAGTGGATGATGAACCGGGTATATATATAGGTTATACTGCGCGCCAATGGAAATACGCGATTTAGACGGCACGAGGGGCCCTGAGCTGTAGCTGTCTGAGCGCAGCGAAGACGCTACTAAGGGCTCCGAGGCCGTCTAAATCGTGTATTCCATTGACAAGCAGTATAACCTGTTTAGACGGAGGCCGTGTCGGCCTTCAAAATCGTCCAGGTCCGCCGTCTTCCGAAAGACTCGCTCTTGCCGGGGGAAGCTAAAAAGGTCTTCAGTTTAGTGTCTTTTTGCATCGTAGAGAGGCCTTTCATCGAAGAAGCATCGGATATAGCGAGTTTGAAGTCGTCGCGGCGAGCTCTCAGCGACAGAGCGAGTTTCTTTGCGCGGAAACTTGCCACACCCCCATCGAAGACGCCATTTTTTGGCGGGCGTCTCCATGGAAACACGCACTTGGAAAATACGGGATTTAGAATCCACGTTTTACGCAATCTGATTGGTCAATTTGAATCTGCCGACGTCTAAATAATAGTTAGACGCTGATTCGAGGTAACTACGCGCAGTAGAAAGCCGAGAGCCCCGGCATTGTGGCGCCCCGAGCGCAGCGAGGGCGCTACCCCCGGGGCACGAGGCTTTCTACCGGCGCGTGGTTACCGAGGAATCAGCGTCTAACTATTTTAGAGTGAGCGCTTCACGTTGCGCGCTCTGGCTTTCCTGTTCGTTCGTATGGCGGAGCGCTTCTAACGATGACTCGATGGAGGCAGGCTCAGAGCGCCAGAAAATGCAGTGCAAGAAGAGCGAAGCGGCAGAGACACGTACGCGCGGTAGCGACTCCTCCGCCTTCTTTTTCTCGCGACGGTATGCGCGTGCGCGTGGACGACGCGTCAACGTAGATTCAGTTGTTGATTTTGTTGTTTACATGTACATTTTGTTATGTTTTCTTGTTTTATCTGTAGGTAAAATTACATGGAATGTACATTTTACATGTAAATTTTGTAGGTTTTCTATTTGCTGTAGTAAACCCCCGTCGAGGTTTACTACAGGATTTAGTAAACCTCGCCTTTGCAATCTGATTGGTCGGTTCGAACCTAGCTCACTCTAAATATAGGTTATACTGCGCGTCAATGGAAATACGCGATTTAGACGGCACGAGGGGCCCTGAGCTGTAGCTGTCTGAGCGCAGCGAAGACGCTACTAAGGGCTCCGAGGCCGTCTAAATCGTGTATTTCCATTGACAAGCAGTATAACCTGTTTAGACGGAGGCCGTGCCGGCCTTCAAAATCGTCCAGGTCCGCCTGCCGGGGGAAGCTAAAAAGATCTTCAGTTTAGTTTCTTTTTGCATCTTAGAGAGGCCTTTCATCGAAGAAGCATCGGATATAGCGAGTTTGAAGTCGTCGCGGCGAGCTCTCAGCGACAGAGCGAGTTTCTTTGCCTAGAAGCTTGCCACACCCCCATCGAAGACGCCATTTTTGGCGGGCGTCTCCATGGAAACACACACTTGGAAAATACGGGATTTAGAATCCACGCTTTACGCAATCTGATTGGTCAATTTAAATCTGCCGACGTCTAAACGAAGTAAGTCGATGACAATTTTTGTGGGAAATCTACTTTACTAACGAGTTATACCTTGAGGTGAGATCTTACCTGTGTACAATAGTTTATGCATGATGTGTTATAACTGCTGTCGGTATTGCTAATGCAGGAGTATGTTGGCTATAAAACTTCTGCTAGTGTTGTTGCTGTTTTTCAGCACTTCACTACTTACTAATGGCCAGCAAAGGTATTGTACGTTAGTAAAACTCAGCAGTCAATTTTACTGATAGATCTCTACACTGCAGTGAGTGTATCCGCACTGTAGCTACGATGGAAACCTACGAGTATTATGCGCAGGGTGCCTACAGATCTGAGTACAACTGCGGTTTCTGGGGGTGGAGCAGGTGTTACCGGTACATCCAGTCTTGCAATAATTGCTGGGGAGTAAATATTTTGCTACCAATACCTTTAGCAGCCTGTCTAGAGCCTTTTCAATTATTGCTGCGAGAGTGTGCGAATTGCAAAAAATGGAGCCAGGCAGTGGATAATGAGTTCATCACATTTTTCTATATAGCACTCGCTACACGTCACATCTAAAATATGGTTCACGTCTGGCGTATCATCAAGAACTGTTTGTTGCAGTGGATACCTTAGGGTTGGAGGAGAATGCATTCGTAAGTTCCTCCTTCCGACAAAGTTGGAACATTTTTATTCCTGTGTCTCGTGCAGTATCATGTCCCAACTGCCCCGAGTCCCACTCATGTCTAGCACCTTATTTCTGTGCCTGTCCAGAGAACTGGTCTGGTGAAGGATGCACAGGTGAACACGCCACTACTGAACTATCAAACTGTTACGCCTACTAATATCTTGTTCAGAGCCTCCACAGAATGTGGCTCTCACAGCAACTGGGCCTGATACACTGCGGTTCAGATGGTCACCACCTCCAGATTTAGTTGTAACTCTCTACGTTGTCATTTTTCAAGATGAAACGCATCACGTTGATCCTTCGAGTGATCTGGTCATGGACCTGGACTCACTGAATACATACACAGCCTACACCTGCTGTGTTGCTGCTAACACTACCTCTGGACCATCAAGAATAGCATGTGCTACACAAAGAACATTACAAAGAGGTATCACTAAGTACGGTAGTACTTAGTATATAGGGATTGACATGGTACCTAGCATCATAGATGTATGGGGCTATGATAGGGAGTTTTGTTCATCTTCTTCTAATAAATAGAAAGTAGTGTTGTTAATTAGTACATATCCAGATTATAAACTTCAAATGGTAGCTACAATGCTATACAAAATTGTTAATTCCATAAGCCGGTTAACTCCCATTCTTTCACAGCTCCTGGAGATGCACCACGCAATTTTATACTAAGAACCTTGAACTCCACTGCCATACACATCCAATGGGGCCCTCCTCTCACTCCCAATGGTATCATCATTCATTATACCATCTACATCAACAATGGCAACCCACCCCTCAATGTTGATGCTACAAGTGCTGGTTTGCAGCATGTTTCAGTGGGTGGTTTCTCCCCTGACCAAAGTGTAACGGTTCGTCTCTCAGCTAGTACAACGGCTGGAGAAGGACCAAAAACAGCTTCTCAAAGTGTCACCACTGACGAGGCTGGTATATACTGCAATGGACTTTAACATTGTCTAATAATACGCATTCCTCTGATTAGTTCCAGGTCGAGTAGAGAATCTAAATGTCATTGCAGTAGATGCCAATACGTTCGATGTCTCTTGGGGCCCTCCAACATCCCCTAATGGAGAACTCACTGGATATACAGTCCTGGTCAAAAATTTGATGAACACTACCGAAACACCTTTCATGATTGAGTCCCACTTAAACCAACTTAGAGTTGATGGAGGAATTGGTAAGTTAATGACATTATTCTTAGTACACATTTTCAAGTACCATTATAATAGCTGGAAAAGCTGTCCCATCACTATAATTATTATCGTAGTATATTGGCGAGTGAGGCAAATCCCCACCTAGCTTTCTCATGAGGTTTTCCCGATAAAAATGTTAGCTCACCCAAAAGGTTGACAACGCTTACGTATAAGCTACTACGTACATACCATAAAAATGTGCTATATACCAGTGAATCGCTGTGGGTCCCATAGTGAAATAAGCTGAAGAGCAATACACAAAACAGTTATAAATATTTCAACTCACCAATGCAAGCATGTTTATGCCCCTTCTCACCAACGCAAACATGTTTATAGGTCCTTATGTAAGATACAGTGTATTAGTGGCAGCCTCCACTGCTGTGGGTCTCGGAATCCCTGTTGAAAAGACACTGTACTCACAAGAAGGAAGTAAGTGTGATAATGCTCTGCACTTTTTGATTATGAGACTTTCACTCGTGTCATAAATAGGTCCACAGAGCCCACCTCCGAATGTAAACAGCACTCGAAAGTCAGCCACCAATGCCAGTGTAGAGTGGGATGGGATAAGGTGGGAGGACCTGAGAGGGTGGCTGGTGGACTATGAGATTGGGTATGGTAGGGTGATGATGTCTGTCCACCAGCAGTGCCCTGCTAATGACTCCACCTACACTGAGACCCTGTCTGTAGATAGTGAAGGAGAATACGAATTGACTGGTCTAGATCCAGGACTGCAGTACTGTGTGAGGCTGGCTGGGAGGACCAGTGCTGGAGCTGGACCTTTCTCACACACACTCATTCCATGTAATGTATTATTATCGTAGTTTTCCATTGTTTAAATGGTTAATTGATAACAGGGCATACCAACAGTGTTTTCACTGTCAAACTACAGATGTCATACTGCACAGAATGGATCGTAAGTTAAGTTCAATAATCTCACAATAAGTGACATACCATGCACGCAGGCAGTAAAGCCAGCAGAGATAGTGGAAGACCTTTCAAGGGCTTTCAGCAGTGGAATTGAACTCACTTGCAACTGCACATTTACCAGTGACTACATTGCAGATGGACAACTAACTTGTCGCAATGACATTCTGATATTCCAGGGAAGGATAATAAGCACTACTGACCGCAACAGCACAGATCTCTTGACAAATTTTGAGACATGGTTATCGACTGATCCAACAATAATGGCCAGGGGCGAAGAACTCAAACTCTTTAAGAACGAACGCTTTACCGAATCAGAAAACAGGAATCAGTCCATCGTGGGAGCCACGGCTGGGGTTGCTGCTGTTCTCATTCTACTGGTTGCTTTGGTCATTGTCTTGATTCTGTGGCGCATAAACAGGTGGGTGACAATCCAGTGTTGAGTGGAAATTATTTTGATCCTTTGTTATGGTAGGAGAAAGTTATCTATGGCAGTGGGTTGTCGACTTGCATCTGCCACATCACTCAATTCAATAGCAGCAGATTACGAAGAGCCCCTGAAGACAGTTTTCAGCAAGCCACCAATGAAAGATCGAAAACCTATTCCTGCCCCTAACACATTTCCAAAGCCGCTAAAAGTTACTCCGAAACCTCTAGAATTATCCCCCAGGCAACAAAAACCACCTCTGCAGCCTCCTCCTAAGAATCCTTCCATTTCTCGAGAGAAAGCTAACAAGCACGCCCTCAAAGAGCAGAAAACGTCGCTCATCGATTGTGAAATGCCCATCGCTGGGACTGAAAATGTGTATGATGATCCAGATAATATTACGAGTGGTGCAAAGGATGGAATTGCAAGCTTCCCTAACATTGCCTATAACAGACCGTCAACAAAGGGCACTCAGAAATGAAACTACTTACACTATATACAAACATTAATGCTTTGTAGTGACATCAGTAGTGAAAATTATTCTGTTACGTGAGTGTAAGGATGACAAAGTTATTTATACGCATAGGAATGGCAGACGAACCTCTGAAAGAGTTTTTAAAATGCAAATTTGTGACCTCTGACTCGAGGCTACTTGTAATCAATCAATTATTAGTATTACACACCAATCAACAAAAATAGTCTAGAGAGATGGGAATAAAACTGGTGGACACAGAGGCTACTTGTGTCTGGGACTGTTCTTTGCCACCTTGGACCTGGAGGGAGTGGGGATTCCACTGGGTCTGGGTCCCACTCCCGTGGCAGTATGGGCCGAGGACGAGGGTGAGATTGGTCTTCTCGCTGGCTTGGGAATGTGACTCGGTGTTGTGGGCGCTGGAGATATTATATATAGGGAGAGAGAGGAAAAGAATCATCATATTATATATAATTATAGGCATGTCTTGAATATTATGGACATCTTCCTTGGTAGAAGTATTTTGGTCATGCAATTCTTTAGTTCCCAAAAACGACACAGGTGCTTGCACACACTGCGATGTGTGCACGATATTTGAGATTGCAACAGTCCAGCTAAACGACTTAGAGCATAATAACAGCAATCTCATGACAAAAGCTACTAGCAGAAGTGCAGAGACATCGAGTGGAACTCAAAACGATGCAACACACAACCGAACGTTTTGCACTGTGAATAGGCCCAAGCATACAGGTGTTGTCTCTCACCAGAGGTGGGAGTCTTGTGTCCGTTGCCAGTGGGGGGAGAGAGACCTCTACTGGGGGTCCTGCTCCTCGCCTGCCCTCCTGTCCTCGTTGTCTTCGGGGAGCCTTGTCTTACCAGAGTGTGTCTCAGAGGCTCTGCCCTGGTAGCTTGCACTGACAGTCCTGGGGAGAGGATTTGGTTGATTATGGTAAAATAATCCCATCTCTCTAGTCGTTTTTTTTTGATTTTCTCTGTTCTCTTGTAACATCTACGTCTCATTGTGAAGGTGGTAGAGTAACTATTTCTAACAACCACGTGTCCCCTACAATTGTGTGCTGGCAATACAACATTTGTTCTACAGCCTACAGGTGAGATGGTAGCTAATTTTATCAGACTTAACAAGAGGTTGGTTGCGGGCTTAACTACTGTAATGCTTGTAGTTCACTGCTTCCCTTTGCAAATGTATTGCTGAGACACAGAACCGATGTAATATAGCAGAAGAATGATCAGAAAAAAGGTTTCGAACGTGCCCTCCCTACCTGGGGATCTTGTTGGAGTTGATTCTCGCGAGCCTCTCCCACTCCAGGTACCAGTAGCCCCCGGTCTCATAATTGTGGTGCTGCTGCTGCGTTTGGTCGGCAGCGTGGCCGTCTTTCTCCCACTGGGCAGCTCTGTCACTGTCAGTGTGGCGTCCCCCTCTCCTCCTCCTCCTCCTCCTCGTAGCTCAGAGTTCTTGTGGGAGATGGCGGTCTGGGTCTTGGTAGCAAAGGAGGCTGTCGTCAACCCCACGCCCATACCTCTCAGAGATGCATTGGTACGACGTGTGGCTGTGTAAGAGGAATACTAGTTTCAAGTACACAGATGGAAAGGTAGAAGTATAGAAACATGGTGATTATTGTTTTATGTCAGAAAAACCGACTACACGTTAGAACATTGCGACTTGCAACTGGAAGTAAGCTATATACGAAGTAAATACGCAATATAATATTCCCCCATTCTATTGGAGTTATACACTCTTTCCTTTCTGCGTAAAATTTCATGCTCTCTTGTCTGGAGGTTCTACTGTAGCCTGTAGGTACCTCTACAGGGGTCGTGTTTCCTGAGGAACTCCTCGAGTGGTTCCCAGCCTCCACCAACTCTCACCATCACTGTACTGCGCAGGATCCTCACCAGTCGCAGCTTCTGAGAGTCCCCAAACTACAGACACACAGAGAGAACATCTATCTGCTTATGGCATCAAAAAAGGGTGGTATTGGAAACATTAATGTTCTTGCTTGATGGTATCATAATAAATTATACAGACACACAGAGAGAATATCTATTTGCTTATGGCATCAAAATGGTACATATATAATATTGGAAACATTAATGTTCTTGCTTGATGGTATAAAGTTGTGCATATACAGACACACAGATAGAATAATTATCTATCTGCTTATGGCATCAAAATAAAAAGCGTGGTATTGGAAACATTAATGACATCAAGAGATTTGAGAAGTACCAGCCACTGATCACAAGAGAGGTATGCACGCATTGTAGCTACACAGTGATCTGTAGACTCATGTTCTTGCTTGCATGGTATAAAGTTGTGCATATAAGAAGACAAATATATGACTTACTCTATACTGGCCCTCTATGCCAGACTCGACAACTTGAA